TTAATTTATCAAGATATACTTTGTTCTATTACAATTCTTTCGGCTTTTACAGATCTTAATTTTATCAATTAAATCATCTGTAATCGCTTATGTAAGAATTGCCGAGCGGAACTCTGTTTCCGCCCGATTCGCATTCGTCGAGTGCTAATGTCATCCTGACGCCTATACCCTTATTTACCTTTTTCGTAAATTTTAAATATATTTCCTTTTTACTTCCTAATATAAAATCCATAGAAAATCGTATTCATTGAGAAATATTCTGAATAATTACCAGATATTATATTACATCCTTGTGATCGACTTAGAAAATTACTACTATTTTTGGAACTTTTATTGAATTATAATTGATATATTTATTTATAAATACTTCTAAATATCTGAAAATTCATATTTTCTAGTTTTATAAATTTTAGATTTGTGTGATTTAATATACAACGGCTGAGTCACGTCAGCCATCCACACTATTCAAACCAAAACGTTTAGAATAGTAACATGTAAAACTTGTATCTTGGACAATATTTAGTATCTAAGCTCATCTAGAGCTTGTATGCAGAGAAGAATCAATAGAAACTTAGGGAACCTAAGGGCGTTGTCCTTAGAAATGGAGTCGGTTTGGTAGATTAAATGACAACACATTGATTTTTTGAAGAACTGAACAAGGAAGAAAAAATAGGTACCAATTGAGTGAGGTCAAATTCATCTTTCCCTTTTGGTACGTCCTGCTACTATAGAATATCAAAAAATAGTTAAATAGTAATACTAAGAGACAAAATAGTTAAAATATGAGGTCCTATGGTACCTAGGAATTGGTCATTGTGTGCGTGTGTAGGCATTAGAACAACTACAACTAATGCTTAACGACTATTTTCCAAACATTCCATGCTACAAATAAAGGAAAATATTGTCCTCTAAATTTAATCCCACCAACATTAATCATAACTCTAAACTTCTAAGAAATTAATTCAAATCAAGAGAAGAGTACTTGTTGCAAGTTCAAAATTAATTGAATTATTTCCATGTATGTGATATCAATATATGCAAGGGAGGTATTAAAAATATGTGTAGGTATTATTTATTTGTTCCATTATATTGTATTGTTAGTATAAGAATGTCCTCCAAGCAGTCTAGAGTTATTAAATCAGGAAAAATATTTGGGAATGCAGGTCAACCTTGAGGTGAAATCTAAAAATTTCTTTTAGAATCATAGACAGGCCTAGAATTATGAATTGACGTGAGGCTAATTAAAGCATTACTATTAGATGACATGTACTAATATGTATTTGTAGAAGCTTGTAAAGTGTCTTGTAGATAGTGGGGAAGGTTGAACTATCATCCCACAATAGAAATCCCTTGGCAATAGTCTAAACTAACTCAATAGACAACTCACTTGTCTAGTGCCCAATTTGAAATATTTCCATATATATGTTGTGGTATATAGAGAATGATCAACACCAAGTATGTAGTGAGTATATGGATCAAATCCCTATGATGAATTGGTGGTGGGATCCAAGGAGGCATTGCTCTCTTATAATATTCATGTATCCCAAAATGCAGAAGATAAGGAGAATCCTAAAAGCCAAAGGCCTAACCACATTTGAATTGGGCCTTAAAGAGAATGCTAAAGATGGCCCAAACTTGAATTGGGCCTCATAGTGCACAAAAAGCCACTTTGTATTTTTTTTGTTTTATAATTTATTTTGATTATGTTCAAAGTATGTCACTCTCTTGTTTGTCTATAGTTTGATTTATTGTCTATTAGAGTCTATTTTATGATCTATTCAAGATTCTATCTTAAGATCTGTTCATAAATATTTTAGTTTTTGAGAGTATACCACATCTCTTTTATGCCTATATAAAGACCACTTGAACTTGAGGTGGCACTATAAGTTGAGTTTGTTTGTCTTGTGAAGTTGCCTATTTTCTCCTAGTGGATTCAAGAACCCGTTGTAAATTCATGAGTTACATTTTGATGTTGTGGATACAAATCAACCCCTTGTGGATTTAGGGTTTGAAGCCTCTAATTAGTTGGATTCAAAATTTGGTTACTTCTTTTAGATTTATGCTTTGTTTTCATCAACTCTAGTTTCAAAAATATTAAGGGGGTACCTAGTGAATTAGTGCCCCTAGGACAAAATTTGATATTAGGCTTTCTATTATATTTTTCCCTAAAGATAAGAGACTATTTAACTCAATGATATTAAGGGGGGTTCTCGTTACTTTTAACTTGAGATGATTTTATCTTCGAAAGGTGCAGAAAAAGGACTTGCCATTTCATAGGGACAACTTGCCTAACAAGTAATTCTATTTTTTTCACTATATACTATATGCCTAATAGTTATCTCTTTCTCTCCCCTCATCTATTAACACTTATAGACACCTAGATTAAGGACTGGAGAAAATGCACAAATGATATTTGACTAACATCCTCAAACAAATTACATAAACCATGTCAGTGCATGTACAATCCTCTTGGGTATTTTTAAGGTCACAAGAAAATTCAATTTAACTAAAAGTGTCAAAACTATAATTTTAACCTGACTTTAGATAGTTTAGGCTTTCCTCAATAAGAATCAGTATGATCACAACAACACTAATTTAGAAAGAATACTCTTATCATATTTTTCTTCCATTACTTATTGCCATCATCAAAAATATAGAACTCCTAAACTTTCTCAAGCTCTCAAAAGTTCATCAAGGAAGCATTTTAATATCTTAAAGAATCATTTTTGAAACACTCATTTCCTATTCCTAGAAGTGAAGGCGCTATGGTGAGAGGCAAGTTAATACTTTAGTTTCTAATGCAATGAAATCAATGTATGAAATTAGACTATGTAAGATAATGCATTGGTTGTGAGAATTTTATTTTTAACTCAATTAAATAGAGTATTAGAAATAAAGAAAAGGATACAAACAAGCTGTTATTATATGAATGCTAGAAAAGGTTAAACCACTAAAAAAAGGTGCTTTTATTAATTGGTTTATTGTGAGATCTAGTGAGTTGACCTAAAAATAGTTGACTGATATGTTGTCCTAGTTAGTGTAAGTCCAAGAAAACTTGATAAAATTTGATGACAAGTATGAAAAATTTAAATAATCAATTCACCCATGTCTAGGTTGTTTGGACCAATAGTTACAATAGGTAGGAAGTTACTTGACTCACTTGATAAGAAAAGCATTCCAATATTAAAACAAATTTGATTTAACATGTAAAATTCCTAGTAGGAAAGAACTTTGCAAAACTTCATCCTGAGTCAATTAACTTATGAGAATTTTTGATAGTGAAAAACGTTTTGGTTGGCCACCTTTATAATACAATCATCATTGTAATTACTTTGGATGAAGTATACAACTTGGAGGGGCCACGTTATGTCTATGAGGGAATTACTTTCTTCCAACTATATCTGAAATCATTCCAATTATTTGAGGTTCTATCATCTATATATTCTTTGTCCATTGTAAGGTATCAACTATCTTTCAAACATCTTCTACATGTAGAAAATTCTGCTAACTAGCTTATTTATATACTCCTTATGCTCATTTCATTTCATTTACAAACCATTTCTTTTTATAGACTATTTCTGTGCTTGTTGTATCCGTCCTATTTTTTTCATGAGCTGATTGTCTTCTTTTGATATTATTGGCTTGTAACCTTTTATCTTCCATCTTTCTTGCAGCTCCATTGAAGTTCAAAAACTAATAATGATCACCATATATCATAAAAAATCCTCTATGATTATAATTAAAATTAACGTTACTATGATGCATTGTGGATGGGTGCAAGGAAGTCTAGTGTAACTGCATGATAGAAGATAGATGATGAAGAAGAGAAGGGTCATCTCGTTGATAAATAAGAACTTTTACTATATGAATTATCTATTTTCCTCTCCTCTCATTCCTCTTAAGACTAGGTGGGGCCCTAATTTTGTAGACTTTATATTTGTGGATTATTATTTCCTTTTCTCTGCATAAAGGATGAATGAAGAAACAGAGAAATTCAATCCTTCATGAAACTCAAGCAAAGGGCCATATTGCGATGTCCATCATAGCCTTTCAATAAAAGGAGTTGCCATTTTCCGTGCAGTATTACTGATTTCTGATAAACATAAATACCAGAGCATCATCACCAAGTGTAAAGAAGTAATAGGACTAGCAAGTCAAGTCATTAGAAGCCTAGAGTTCATAAGGTGAACCCAAATAGCCAGCTAGCACGAGCTAGTCTCAAATTCAACGAAAAAGGCCAAACCATTAACTAAAAAGGGTTGAAAATAATGTGCAGTCTTCTTATCTTCTGCCAGGAGTTTTATAAATATGACCAAGTTTTTGCCTCTTTGTATGAACATGCATGCGAATGAATACATCTGAGGTACGCCTGCTAGAGTCATCTTGCCCATTTCATGTGGAAGAATGGAAACAAAGAGTATGATTTTGTTCACTAATGTATTGAGTCAATGCTAATATTTTGGATTTCAATATGGTATGTATGTATTAAAGCCTCATTGATGGTTGGAACAGCTCGAAAATGGGCAATGAATCAACCTATGCTCTTTGTGGAGCAAAACTAGAGCGAATTTCAATTATATAGAAGTTCTATTTATGGTGGGTAGGTTGCACGGCGCCCATGTGATTACGTGTGTTTCTCTCTCTACAGTTCTCTTCATGTCGGCTAGTGACGTGTTGGGGATTGGGCTCTAACAATTGGTCCCAAGTTCTTTATAGACAGTACTTTGGGAAGGGACTTTTCGTGGAGGCCTTGTTCTCGGCAAAGCCTAATGCGGCCCTTACAAAAAGGAAAAGCACCGCCTGGTGGCTTGGGTTCCTTACACGTATCGGTCTGCCCGCGTGGCGTCGCTAATCTGGCTGTTCATCTGTCCGAGTCCCTTCGATTCAGTCTGCTCCGCTCCGCGGTCAAGTCCGCCCTCGATCCGTAGGTGGGAGGTTGGATTTAAAGGTGCTAGATGATGTCCGTAGATCGGTTCCAAGTGTCATGATCCTGACAGCCGATGGATGGATTTGGCGGGCCCACCTTCACCGACATGTCAGCATTGACCCTGGCCTTTTTAAATCCCCTCTCTAAAGCTGTTTCCATCGATTATATGGGGTGCCCAAAGTCCAACTGCCTGGATTTTCATCTCGGGTGGCTGTTTCTTCGATCCGCAGAGCTGCAGGCAGCCTCCAGAGTTCTGGCTGCTGCGCATGGCATCTGCTTCCTCAACGTCGTCGTCGTCGTCGTCGTCGTCGTCCCTCGTTTCCAGGGCCAAGACGGCGATCCACTCCGCGGCAGCCAAAGCGGAGAAGGTCCTCACGGACATCCGCATCGATCTGAAGAACGATCGGGAGCGAGGTCTTCACGCTGATTTATCCCCTACACTCCTACGCACGCGCACGCAAGATCTCCGATACCTCGATGGGATTCCCGGATCGAGGAATTGTTTCATTGTTCGTCGCCGTTTTAATTTACCTTTGCGGGGAGCCCCTCTCACCGATTGTTTGGGTTTATGTAGGTGATGGAAAGCCTCAGAATTTGGCGAGGAGGGAGGGGGGAGATCAGTTGACAGCGTCTACTGAGTTTGAGGAGCCTGCAAAAAAATCCGAGGAGGTGCTTCTTTAATTTTTTTGTTTTTTCTTACTCCTTTTTGTCTTCATCTTCAAATTAACAGAATGGATTTTTTTTCATATTTTTTGATCATTTTTTTTACTTGGAACTATTTATTGTTCTCCATGTCTGATAGTCGGCAATGATTATTTTAAAAATAAATTCTATGCCGATTTTCTTTGAAAATTGGGAGGCAATTCTGATGGCCGGTGTCATTCTATCATAACACTGAATGCTTTTTTAAAGTCCACTTTTATTGATTTGGATTCAAGTTGACTCGGTCGTGGTAAGAGGAGATAGGTTTGGTTTGATATATTACATTCTCTGTTGACATGAAATAACGATGGGCCACTTACTGGCAGAGGTGGGATGCTGGAGCCGGCATCACATTGTCAAGCATGCAATACGGTCTCCTTGCAATGTTATGGTTATAAATTAAACCAGATCCATGAAAAAGCATTAAGTGGTTTGGTAGAAGTTCGCTCATGACTGTCTTCCTTGCACACGCCATCTCCATTTTGACTCAACTTTATAGCTCTGGCAATGTTACCCATGTACTGGATATTTGCCGAATTTTGATCAGAGTCTGCTCAACAGATCACAGCGCTGATGCTGAGATTTGACAAATCATGGGCGTTATATTCTCTGAGGGATCACCCAGGTGTCAAGGATGTGTATGCCTGGAACTCATTTTTCTAGCTTGGATAGTGGAATAATAGAATTTTTAGATGTTGGGAAAAGATGAGTCCTTTATATGCTAACCGTCTTTTGGTCATATCTGTACCCTATTATAATCATCATCAAAAGATAATATTTGAAGGAATATATGAGGATAAAAGAAATAAATATGGAGGCTGTTATTAAAAATATAGTAATATCATAGGAAATATCTAGTCATATATTTTTGACATGGATATATTTTCATAATTTAATTTTTAACTGGATACATTTTCAAATAATATTAAATTTTTGTGCTAATCTACTGACTGGTGATGAATAAATTTACTGCATATGTTACCTTGGGTTGGAAGTGAATTAAGTTTAGTGCTAATCTCAGGTCAACATGTTAATTAATCACCAAATTAGGAACTAAAATTGTGAAAACTATAATTGATAAATAACATCTTTTCGAAAACGGAAATAACATTGCTTTCTTTCTCTTGAAATTAACGTTATATTTTATGTAGATTCTTTTTTTATACATTCTGAACCAGTCTTTTTACTCTACATGATTTTCGAACATTCATGAATTTAAAATCGAATCGGTTTGATTCAAAATGGATATGATGCGACACTGCTATCATCACAATAAGTCACTATATTTATTTCTAAGACAAGATTTGCCCTGGTTGTCGACTCTTCCTGCATTTGATAAGATGGCAGGCTGTTAGTTACCTGGGCAATTTATTTGACTTATTAAACCCCAAATTGGTTGGCATGGGATATGATCATGAACAGTTGATATGGGAGTCTTCAACAACTGGTATTTCCTCACAATAACTGATTATGCATATTTTAGGGTTTGAGAGTTTATATTTTAGCGACTTCGTTGAACAGTAGTGATAGGGGCCAAGCTGCAATAGATATGCCTCGAACCATATATACTTTAGAAGAGAATAGCGAAGATAGGATTAGCTTAGCTTTGGAACCGTCGACCATCTTGATCAGATGAACACAAAATAAAATTCGCTGTCCATTTGCATCAATAGGCTTGAGGGAGTGAAAAGTACGGGATATGTCTGTTGTTTGTTCCATTAATCATCAAGATCTATGCTGCATTTCAATAGAAGAGGTTTCGAGGGTCATCCATTACAAAAGACTTTCCTCAGAGGGGATATGTGGACCAGCCAGCTCAATAAGGCTGTAATCCCTTTCTATTAATAGGGAGTCGGCATGGTAGTCAGGGAGGTAATCATGGCAGAGACAGAAGTTGTGAGCATGGTCACTGCAGAGGCAGCTCAAGGCAGCAGGACAAATCCAGGGAGGGCCAACGTCTGCAACTGCTGCTGGGCAAAGCAGCCCACTGAAGTTGACCATTTTGGTTAAAATATCATTCTTAGTGAATATTCATTTTCTGCCATTCACATACTCAACTAGAAGCGCGCAATCCTTAAAATATCCTAGTGTCCTTTATAGTAGCAATTTATTCTTCTGTATTACTCATTCCAGGCTGGGAAAGCCATTGAAACCTTGTTCCCATGTTTTTCTTATCATTACTTTTAGTAGACATGTTCAGTTAATTTCATGACATTAAGTGCTTCATGCTATCATGATAAGACAACAAAAATATTGTGACTAGTAATGTTGTGTGCTACTCTTTAGTGTTCAACATTTTTCTAATGTTTCTGATTGGTTTCCAAATTATTTTTTTCATTGACTCTGGACTCTTTTTTGTGCTGGCTTTCTTTTAGCAAGAATATTTTCAAAATTCTATTGCCTTATCAAGCTACTGCAATTGATTTGGCATAAGATTTTCACAAAAAGGATACAATCCTATTGCTTGTGGAATCGATGTATGATCTTCTTGAAAGTGTTTCCAGCGATGTTCAGTGTACCTAGACATGTGGGTGATTATATCAAAAAAAGAGCCTTCATTGGATGTGTGAGACTGTCAACAGTGTCCTACATCATTGTTGTGCCACCTGAAATCTCTGATATCGTACATTTCGACTGCTGGTTAGTCGGGAACCAGGTTGCAATGGTTTCCACATTAAAAATGGAGTATTTGATGCTTAACCATTGTACTGTCATGATACCGTTAAAATGTATCCCATCAGTGGAAGTACCTCGAAGATACTGATTGCTTTTTCAAGCATTCTTGATTGTTACACTCTTGTGGTACTAGACTACAATCGTTTTTAATATCTAGTTTTTTAATTCTTTTTACTATTTTCAGGATATCAACTATACGAAATGGAAACCTTTAAACCTGGGGAAAAAACAAGATTGGCAGCACTCCCTAAAGAATTTTAGGATAGGAAAGAGAGACGTTGAGGAGAAAACTAGCCAGGTGCCTCCAGATATTTCTATTCCTGCCAATTGCTTGCAGTGGAATCAAAGAGACATTCCAGACATGAAGGTAGAAGGCCATTATTTTCCGTCTAATGAATAAATTATTTTAAAATTATCTTCTATGTTTTATTTAAGACCTTTCTTTTTTAACACGTGGATAACATGCCGTTAACATTTCGTAAAAAATAATTGAATCATGTTGTACCTATGAGTAAATAATTTTTCGGTGTAAATAGTGTCAACTAAATTATTCTTTGTTACTTCTCAATTTGGGTGTCTATGTTCAAAAGTGACATTACAAAATAGAACCTGCATTTCATAAATTGGCAAATGGTCTAATGAATGAACATACGTGGTGACTACGGGTGTACTTGTACTGAACTAATATCACATCAACTTTTTTAAACCTTGCAAAAAGAATATCTTAATGTATGAAGGGCATCTCTGAAGGAACACTTTCTAATACAATTTTCTTTAAATCTCTTTTCTTGTGCAAAAAGAACATACACTGGTTACTGTATTTAAATCTCTTTTTTTTGGTTAGCCTAAGATTAGCAGGAATTTGATTCCTTTTTTCTTTTGTAGCCTAGTTATATTCTCAAAATATCTGCTTTTGGGAATGTCAAGCATGGTTTTAACTTTAACTTCAGAAGGCTACCATTTAATGGATGAGGCAGAAATAGAAGCATGACGGAAACCATCAGTTTTCTCCGTCAGGTATAAACTAGAGGCATCCACGAATGATTTGTCTATGGATTCCTGTTTCTGAATATTTTATTCAATATCTATGCAAAGCGTGTTGAGTTATGGATCAGAAATGCAAATCTTAAAATAAAAGATATGTTAGAACTCGTGTACCACTCATGTCTGTTGATGAAGGTGACAAAAATTCCAAGATCCTGGATTTTTTTGGGGTATTATCTATCAACAATCAGAGTTGGTTTCAATCTGTGATTCGTATCTATTATTCCCAGTGTTATCTCATTGTGTCAAATTTGTAAATTTTTGTGTGCAGTTGCTTAATGTCAGTTTCAGTGCAGTAGCTTAAAAGATTGATCACTTTCAGGAAATGGGATCCAGTGGACTGGATCATGGTAGAAATCCTGTGATAACTACTTCAATTCCTCCTGCTTATGTCCTTAAAAATCTGGCAGCAGCCAATATGTAAGTATTTATTTGACTGCAGCTGTGCATGTCTCTTTCAGTGACCACCCAATTTTTTTTGCTTTCATTAGAAATATACTTTATTACCTTTTCTGTCTAAGATAAGAACTAATGAAATATACTCGACCGTATGGAAAATCATTCATGGATTTAATTTTTTTAAGATTCTTTTTGTGTAATTACGTTGAAGCCAAATGACTGTGTTTTTTATGCTTTACGATTCAATACATATTATCTATTGGAAAGTTGTTTTGAATTGATGTAAGGTTTATTTTGCAATTGATTGATGTCTGTTTTACTCTTTCGTTATCCTGCAGGAAAGCAAAGACCTTTAAATCTGTGAAAGATTTTCCGATGCAAGATAGTGATTCTCCACCAATGAAAGAGAAACTGGGCTTGAGTTTTTCTGTGGTCAAATCAATTGTGGTTCGTGAGAAGGACAAGCTGAACCATGAAATGTGTGGCAAATTGGAAATCTCTTCTGCCGTTCAGGTCTTATTTGATTCAGGTTGTGAATTAGGTTTGTATTTTTCAGATTGAATTCTTCAGCGTAATATTCGTTCCTCAGTTTCATTGTAATATCTGCAAGATAAATTGCAGGGGAACAGCCCCTCAAAGGGAATGAAGGATCTAGGTCACAGTCATTGTTGATCACATGTATCCATGGTGCTCCCCCAGGAAGCTTTTTGGTTAAAGTTTCTGAAATCGCTGGAAGCTTCAAGTCTTTACACAAGATGGTTTTGTTTTGGCATAATGTCGTCACTGAAGTATGGATCACTTTCTCACAAACTATTAAAGGAAAACAACATTGTTTGAGCTTATAGATTATCTGCATTTAAGTTAATTTATCATTAAGAGTTAGTGTTTTCGTGAAAAATGTTTTCCCAAGCACTTGGTTTTATCAGGTCAAGATTTAGGTCTATCTGTTTATGTTTTCCATACGCAGGGACACCATGTGCATACCGTATATATTATTTCGTTGAGAAAAATCTTCGTGCAGAGCATATCTTCTTTCAAGTTTTCCTGAGATATGTACTTACACAGCTAATTGCCAACTTAGTCTTAATCCTATGGAAATTTGACGTTTTTATGTTGAAATTCCTTTTTTTAATTTGAAAGGAAGAAGCTTTTAGTCATAATTGTCTCTTTTAGTTGATAGTATCTGGAATTAAAGAAATAGGTCTTACTTTCTTAGTTTCCTAGTATCTGGAATTAAAGACTTTTTCCAGAAAATTTCTGAGTTTCTTGCATTGGAGGGTTGGACAAGGAAAAAAAAAGAATTGGAAGAGGGTTTTGGTTCTGTGTCTGAAACATAAAGGGGCATGTCGCTAGAATCTGAGTAAGAAATATGAAAGCTTTCAAATGTGGTCTACTAATTCTGCAGAAGGTCCCAGTTCTTAATTTATTCTTTAGGGTAATGTGGAATTGAACTTGAAGGAAAAAGATATTAAATGAGATTATCTTCAGTCTCTAACATCAATTAGCATACAAGAAAAGGCTGGAGGGATGATTTCGGTTGTCTACATATTGAAATCACTACATAGAAGCCTGACGTTTTGGTATCAGAGGCTATAGCGCTTCATACATTTTTGCACAAAGATATGTAATGATGTACATTTTATATAATGGATATGCAACCAAAAGTTTTTAGTTACAAATTTGTCTCGGTATAAAAGACCAAATAACTTTATCATATTCTACGTTTGAAGAGTTATTCTGTTGCTGTGCCTAGATGGTGATAAACGTTTTTCTCTTTTCTCTATTTTTTTCAAAGGAAGCATTGATTTCGTTATATACATGTAATGGATGCGCAACAAAAAGTTGTAGTTAAAAAGTTGTCTCAGTATCTAAGACTAAATAGCTGGATAACATTCTATGTTTGGAAAATTATTCTTTTGTCTAGATGGTTCTTACCACTGGATAAAAAACCTAGAACCATATGAGTGTAAGGAATATGAGAATCTTAACAATTAAGTTTAAAGCTTCTTACCTAGGTCACTTTAGTGTGCTGGTAACTTTGATGGCCGGTTAAACATCTCTTATGGTACTTAACTTGATGAAATGCACATTAATATACAAATATTAAAACCATGTCCTCTTAGGGTACTTAACTTGATGAAAATTAGCATTAGTATACAAGTATGAAAACCATGTCCTCTAATCTATTCGTAGTCATCAAATTCAATGACTTGAAAACAATAAATAACCACCCAAGAAGATGTCTATTTACATTGAGAAGTTAGTAGCCAACAATGCCACAGCACTTCGTGAATTTCTGTACGATTTTACTCTTGGAAAAAATGATCACTCAGTATAGGATTTAAAGTAAGTGAAGTTAGATCAATCATATTCATAAAACTGTTTGAGATTATTCTACAGACGTGACTGTTGGTGCTTCATTTTATCAAATTTCGGACGAATGCTATTAAAAATTTACAGTTTGGTGTCAATTTGATATTATGTGCAATGTAGATTCTTTGAAGTCATAACCTTTTCTGGAATCTTATGTTAAACTAGTCATAGCTGCATCACATATGAAGTCACTAGCCCCTTTGTTGGCATAAATGGCCTAAGACCCATGATGTGAATCAGGCAGAAAAGTCAAAAGAGCGGTTCTTTGAAAGAGTATGACATATTGGGGACTGGCCATTCTCCTGGACCAACGCATAAGGCAGTGATTTATAAAGGACTTTAATTTGGTTGAAAGTTGTTGCTCTGATAGTGTGAGGTGAACCCACCTGATCAGTTACTCTTCTTTTGTGGCCATCTTTGATCATCCAAGTTAGTCATTCCTTGTAGAAAATATGCTATAATGGTCGAAGATGATCTGTTTTGATGTGAAAGGTAGGCATGGGGGAATGACTGAGTATGATATCGTGACAGCATCATAATTGCCTTTTGCCATTGTCTCTCCTTCTGTCAATGGTAAGAAAAAGACAAGTTTGGGAAACAGGGATGGAAAAAAACCTGCTTTGAAGATGGTTGTTATCACCTTCGTTATCATTATTGCCTGTCACATTCATATCAGCTGATTTGATGTTCCTCTCTCCCTTGTCCCATTTTGGAGTGTTGTTTCCCACTATGTCAGACTGTTGTAGCCTAGTAAATGAGTGGATGTGTTTAATTAGGCTGGTTCTTGTACTCTACCTTACGAAAAATGTACAAATGTCTGTTCGTTTATCCAATTTTGACAAGAAAACGTAATATTTTTGCATAAAGGGTTGACCTAAAATTAGTCTACATTAGATAGGGCCATTGTTGCATCAGTTTCATGATTTACTGTCTTTGCCACCTCTGTTTACAATTTTTTGGAAAAGAACCGCTCAAGGAGAAAGTGTGAACCTTATTGAGTGTTTCAACTCAACATTGTGTTGTGCATTTGTTTTCTGCATGGAGCTGTGTAAACCTCAGGAACAGGTTTTATATTGCGATCAGAAATTACTTTTTGATGATCCTGAAGTTTGCAACATAACATACCACTTTTGTATCTATACCATGCCAATGAAATTTACTATTGTCTTAATTATCGAAATGAATTTTAATCGGAAATTATTTATATCTGTAGCTGAAGAGACGATGGTCTGTGGGAAAACCAATTCCTCACATGCCGCTGGATGAAAATCCTGATTTAGATTGCTGTCGTCTGCATCAGCAATTGCAGGTTATAAATTGTTGTATTGCCCGGAAACTGCGTCGAATTAATGCAACAGAACAGTTGGATTCTGTTGTGAGCAGAAGTCCGGATGATAATCCAGTTGATTTTTTCAACAAGCTATCCGAAAAGCCTACGATATATGCAAAAGTTAGAACCGGTGCTCATGTTCTCAGGCTTGGTGCTGGTAATCCATCCAAGAACCTAACCATGCTAGAAACGGGTGAACAAATATATTCCCCTCTGACTCAGGTGTAATGTCCCTTAAATCTTTTATGGTTATTTTGGTTTTTGTTTTCAATTTATATGATGGTCGTATCTGACAATCGAAATCGTTCTTGAAATGAAGGAGGGACCGGTTTTAACAGAGGAACTCATTAAAGAAACTGAGGAGTTTGTACTGCGAACTGGGAGGTCTGATATCTTTGATACACGTAATTTTGTCCTATTATAAATGAATAGTATAGTATCCTCTATCTTCTTACTTCTTTGCTTGTAATCTAGTTGAAGATCTGATGTGATATATTTGGTAGGGCCCATAATGGATGAGAACGAATTTGACATGGCAAGTGTGATCCATGAAACCTATAAATTTTGAGAAACAAGTACATGTGATATGATAGGTCATATTTTTTGATTTTATAGGACCAAACATGGGGAAAATCTTGATAGAATCAAGGACAGTATTGTCCTGGGCTTATCAACCAAATGGACAGCAAAAAAGTAAAATGAAATGAGAGATAATTTAGGCCTTTCAAGTGTCCTTACAACATCATTTAGTTTGACTTTGGGTACTAACACCAACTTTTCGTCAATATCCCATTTTACCCCACTTTCAAATCGAGATATTATCTGAGATTTCGGTTTTGATAATTTGGTGCTAGACAACGATCTATACAGTTCTTTTAGGAACCTTCTTATTTGATACCCTACTTTCTTTTTCAAAATTTCCGGTATCAAATTCTCTTAATTAGACGAAAGAAATTTATGTTTTAAGATTTTTTCCAATCTCATTGAAGAACGTGAATATTATTTTCCTTATATTTCATGTGTACCTTGTACCTGTTCTAGTTCTTCCCGTATGCTGCCGTTTACTCAAATGCCACAAGCTTGACCTATTTTTCCTCTTGAGCTATCATTAATTGTAAATTGTTCAACTTAAGTGTAACAAATCAAAAAATCTCCGGGACAAGGAGGTCATAAAAGCTTGGTAGATTAATCTTCAATAGGGGGTCTTTTGGAACTTCTTTCTATAATCTACTTCAATTGTCCTCCAGTACAAATATCAAATGGCTGTTTCCACTGGCTATCAGTGTGTGAATTTGACTTGCGATGAGAAATGTAGTATCCACAATTATTGCCATTGTTCACAATGCCAGACTTGCATTTAAATTCTATGATCAGTATTCTTGTAAGTAGTTATGTAAGGTATGGAGCATGCCATACATAGTATTGGACATTGTTTCGAAATTGAAGAACTTCAGCTCTTGAGGGACGGCCCACCATCCAAATGACACCAGTAGGGTTGTCTTCATCATGGATATGAGACATGTTTAGAAAGGTAAAGTTGGGATTCAAAGCTTTACTTTGGTGTAGCATCATGGAAGGTAAAGGAGAGGATAATAATCTTAAGGTCCATAAGACATTGATAAGGAAGAAAATGACAGTGAACGGCAGTGTTCCCTCTCAATAAGAAGGGCTGCTTCTTGATCTCCTAAAAAATATTATAAATTAACAACCATTGTTCAAAGGAAAGGTCTCTTAGAAAATAAGAAAACATTTATTTGAAATGCCAAAATGTGTGATCTCTTGCAAAGAACTGAGTATAACTACATCTTCTAGTTATCATCTTTTTCTTGTTTCGGAAAGAAGCATGGTATATGACATCCACTATGCCAGTTGAAGTTGGGTTCACGGAATAGCTTATGAAAATCTTGTACGTGGTCTGGCTAGAAATATTCTGTAATAAAGATGTGGGCTTGGTAGCTTGCGAAACTGTCATACCAGGTCAGCCCAGCACTGTTATCACCCAATGCATTGGCATGCATTGGTTACATGAGTTCATGAAGAGTGAGAAAATGGATAGGATGACTAGCAGTTTTAAATGAGGTCAATGTTGTTCACAAGTGCTAACTCATCTTCTTGGCTGTTCTGAATTCATTTTAATGGAATTTGGAAACCTTTGCCGAAGGTCTGCCCTTCTCCTTATTTATTTTATCCAATGCGTGTCAACTATTTTTGGCATTAATGTTGACATTCGTGCCTCTCTATCAAGGAGATTGTTTTCAGAAACAGCTCTATTGTAGCAGTATATTCATGATAGATAGGAAAAGCTATGCTCATAACTTATAACAGTTGCTGGACAGGATCAGGCATTTCTTGAATACTATACGTAAGAATCATTACAAAGAAGATCGGATTGTTCTCAAAAGGGAAGTGATAGCTAAACAATATGATAATGAGAGATCAAGCAAGACTTCAAGCAGCATCCTCTTTAGAGATAACTCTTCATTAATCAAGCAGTTTAACCATAACAAGTTTCACTTTGGAAAAGTCAACCAGACATTCTTTTGAACCTCAATCATAAAAGCTATTATTAGACGTCTTTAACATTACCGTTGGTTTTATCTGATAATTTGGCTTGGTGGGTTTACTTTCAGTTCCTATGTAACTGTTTAGTGAGTGAAGCCCGCTATAAACCTTTTTGATCTGTGGGTATTGTTTTGACCTTGACGTCACATGTTACGAAAGCACATTCAATAACACTCATAATAAGAAGAATAAACATTCAAATATTTCAGTACTTTCGTGTGGACCACGACTAGTGAGGGATAAAATAGTAATGGTTCAAGATTTAGAAGCTTATTAAAAATTGGTTGGAGGTATATCTTGCTCAAGTATCACATAGCCCTTTCTTTCCGGTTTCCTTGTTCCATGACAGTGGGCATGCACCAAATATCATGTCATATTACAAGTACCTGTCATATTACTAAGGATGTCTAGTTGTAATTGTAAACCAGTTTCAGTTGTGATTTTGATGTTCGCACCACCAACTATACAGAAATTATTCCCGGATATTTCGCGTACAATCATTGTCCCAATTCATTGTTATAGAAACCAATTGATAGAATGCAACACTAGTGCAGTTTTTTATCATATTCGTGTCGTAGGTTATTGATGCAGAAGAAATTTGGTGTTTATTCGGATCATGCTACTCGAAAATGGACATTCCACATAAGGATTGTTGCTAACCTAACAAGTTTGTTGCCTCCTTGAGCAAGCGTAGAAATGTTATTCCATTAAATCAGGCATAGCATTCCTTCATTGATCATGGTACTTGGTTCCAATTACCATGATTCAGATATCTAATGTCTGCGACTCGTGCAGAATCCTTTTGTGCAATTGTACATGAATTCATTTTGACAGAAATGACGACCATGTGTTTCTGTTAACATTAAAGTTTGCATGAAAGGTCCTGTGCCCAAGGTCCTGTGCCCTACTTTGCATGAAAGGGATGTTAAGTTTCATGCATATTAGGTTCAGGCATTTGTTTATATAATCTCACTAAAGGAGCCATTTGCATTGTGGCTGTGCTGACTGTTAACATTATGTTGTTTGGTTCTAGTTCATAATGATCAAAGTCAAATCGCGTGTCTATATAATGAAGCAACTCCATAGAGAGGTGCGTGGGGAGTCTTGACTAGTTCGAAACAGCGAATTAAGAAAAGATGTTCAACGGACCAGAAAGACTCGGCATAGGAACTTATTCCCACCTACGTGGTTGGTAAGCGAAACCCACCTCAACCAGATCTACCGAAAAAAGCAGGGTGCCCCATTGAAAGAATTAACACGCCAAAATGGCCACTCCCCAAAAAAGGGAGAGATCCGCTGCTTATTTTTTTGGAACGTACCAGTTGTGTCCGAAATAGTGTAACTAAGGAGTTTCCGGGGATTTCCAGATATATGACTCAAAAGAATCGACACAATACACCTAGTTTTAATCTGACAAGTTTTCTTGCTATTTTTACTCATAAGATTTTCATTCATAATATTTGTACTGATTTTCCTTACCTAAGTTATACAGTTTCAAAAACTAAATCTGTTTTTCATTGATAGTATTTCATCAAGTTCCTATCTAACTTGCCCAAGAAGAATATGAGATTCGTCGTTATTTGATGGGCTTCAAATATGAGATTCGTCACATACTATTAAGTTGTTGCTTAAATAGGCTTCAATTGTTTTAAATTCCTAATGAGCAGGCTTTCTCATACCTTAAGAGATCAGAAATACGCAATTCACATTTCATGGTATATCTTTCAGGATTTGGACGTCTTATGTATGTTATTTAGGTTTTCATGTAAATCCTCATTACTTAAGAGAGAAGAAGCTGCTGTAACTTTTGTTTTTCCTTGTCTTCATGAAATATCTCATGCAGCATTGTTATGTCTTATATTTCAGTATTGGGGCTGGATGTTCTCAGCTGCTGTCTGACATGCAAGCTTTCAAGGTTATGTCCTTACTCTAAGCACTTATTATAGAAGTGGTACCTTGTTTTACAGATACAGAAGTTTCAAGCATTTAATATCATCTTACATACTTCAACAAATTGTATATTAGGCTGCGAATCCTGGATGCATTTTAGAAGACTTTATCAGGTGGTACTCACCTCCAGATTGGAAGGAAACCAATGATTTATGTGATAGTGAGGATGTATCGTCAAGTGGAGGTTGCTTAAGTGGAAGGATGCAGGGAGAAGGTAAATCTTTTCACTGTATCAACAAAATTGTTATTGAAATGTACACCCATATGACTTTTCAAGATCCCTATGGAGCTTTCTATAATCTATCTGCACACACAATAGCTCTGGGTCCTTTTCGTTTCCCATTGGCACTCTTAAACCAGGAGCACCTTTCCTGGATCCTTGGATTCAAACAAGATTCCCACAACAGGTCAAGATAATTAATGATGAGGTTGGACGTATCGATATCATTAAGACTGTCAGTATCTCGACCATTGGGTTTCTATTAAGCCTCAAAACTTGGACAGTATTCGAAGTCGATAGCTCCTAGAAGTCCGACGAGCTATGCATGCAGTTTTGGGTCTAACTTCTTGAAATGTCTCTAGCCTTTGCTGTATGTTTTTAGGGCACCTGAGTCACAAATTTTGGGCTTTCTCATGTATTGTAGTATCCTATGTCACCATGTATGCACAAAGATGAATATGACTTATACATACTAGTAATTGGAGTAGAAGTTAGGGAAACAAGCAGTATTTGCAAACTTAGTCGTTTGAATGTTAAAGCATTACACATACTTATCCGTTACCCAACTTATCAAGCAAACTAGCATCCCGTGAAAAATATTGCCAAGAATAGAAAGATTGTAAACTTTCCTACGATTTCAAGTTGTCCAAAGGAGAAAATTTGCTGTCCTTCTTCTATGAAGATTTCTTGCCTATCATTGTCCATGGTGCTCATCAAGATTTGTGACTCTTAACATCATTTTCAAATAACGTCTTTTGATTCAATATATCTTATCACATATTGACAGATATGTGATATACTCACAAACTTGTGTACATAACTAGCGAAGCTATGCCATTTGGTTTCATCTATCCATCCCATGTGGATCATTTATTGAAGTTGGACAGGACAGCAGAGCCAAGATGGCCATGTCAATGGATGCTGTCTGTTGAAGGCGTAGTGGTACCTACATAGCAGTCTTGTTCGTGCCTTGTCTGCAGGATTTTCTTTGTAGGAGGTCAAGGTCGGAGTAAGAATAGCAAACAGACTGACTTGTTTACGAGATCTCTACCTAGCACTTGATATAAGCTTCATGCTATGACAAGTTCTTGCATTTTAATCCAAGAAGGATGCAAATAACCTGGGGGAGTTGTGGGTCAGGACTCTTACACTCACAGGTCAGAATAGTGCGGCAGTTCTTGCTTGAACATTATTTTTCTAACTGATCCAGATTTTGAGGAGAGTAACAGCAGATTTCAGTTGATTTAAAGGCTAACACATTTCCACAATACGTTTTTTTTCTCTTCATGAGATTACCTTTGCTTGTAGATTCAAGCAACCCTTGAGGATTCAAGGGGCGTTATTCTGATCCGTGTACATTCAGGGATAGTCCAATGCAATCCTTGTGGTCCTAAGGATTTAGTACTTCGTACCTAATGGATTCAAGGCTCAAATTTCTACTCTGCTACTTTTTCTGCATCAAGTTGTATTAAATCTCTATTTTCCGGTGAATTCAAGTGGCGTTACTTTGATCCTTGTGGATTTAAGGATCATCTAAAACAAATCATTGCGGAGTAGGATTGAGTATTTAAGGCTTGAGTTTTCATCCTTCCTTGACGTCTGTTGCATTATGTGGAGGGTTGACTTACAGATCATTCACCCAATAAAAGAAATTGCCTCTTGGGATTTAGATTGATTTTTTTCTTATAGAATATTGTTGGCTTCCTGTCTGGCAGTGTTTATTATTCTGTGGGCACTTGTTTCATCAGTTTTCATCTCTGACATCGGCTTATGAGATATCTTGTATCATGTTGAACTTCTGCAGGGAATTTATGGCGTGAACTATGGGAAACAGCTAAACCATTACCTGCGGCAAAACAGGCACCACTTTTTGATGAAGATTTGGCTGTGTGAGTACATTCTGGGTGTTATACTATTAGGCTATATGAATCATAATTTAGATAACTCACTGCTGACCTTTTCTTCCAGTGAGAGCACCTTAACATCCATGGCGTCTATCCCCCCTTCTGAGCTTCTTGAGCAGTTGTTCCTTTCAATGGCAAGTAATTCATTCTAGCTAATGTTTCGTCCATTTTCCTCTTTCAGGCAAATAAAAAAACTAAATCATATTTTTCAGATTCAATTATTTGTTTGTTTTTATGTAACAGTCCAATAATGTTTGAAATATTAAAATAAATTTCAAGATCTTTGTAAATATTTACATTTTTTTTCTTTTGACTGAAATGATAGTGCCCCTGTCACCTCATTGGGACGCTATGAAAGCTATGCATAGAGTGGTAGCGTGGGATAATATGCCGAGGAGTGGTCAATTGGGAGGAGTGATATAATGCCTTTGGTCCTTTATTTACTGGAGCAGTAATCTCAAATGTTAGCACCAAGATTAAAAGAGGAAAGAAAACCACTTAGGGCACACCAAAGGACTAGTTTTTTATCGTAATCTTATGTATCAGAGAACGTATCATTGCATTGTGCAGAAATCTAAGAGGGAGAGAGGATTCCACTGAAAACACAAGGTGAAAAGCACTGGGGAGGATGAACTCCGAAACCCTAGGTGAGGGACGGTGAATTCAGAAATGGTACGAGGTTAATGGGCCAAGAAGATCTAATAGGCCCAGACAGGCGTAGTAGGCTCATGTAGGCCAAACAACAAAAAGAACTTTCTTATTAGGTTTTCCCATTGAGGTATCATGTAGGATTGGTTTCTTGATTTTTTTATCACTGTCACAAGCGCTCCATTAGTTATCTTAGATTTCATCAGTGCCGTACTATTTACCGCTGTACTGGGGAAATCTGTTCAAGACTAGACATAATATTTCGGAATATTCCATCAGCTTCAATTTATGAGAATTTTTTTTTTGCTTGCCTCTGACTTATTTACTTTTAAACACTACCAATTATTCATCTTAGTACTTCCTGTTCTTAGGTTATACTCTGGAAATAAGAGGAGCTTCTTTATCATTCTATAAATTGATCTTCGAACTCACAAAATAACTCTTATTATGTGAGAGTTATTATGTTGTTTAACGGAGTACTTTCACTGGAATTTTCGTACCTCTATCTTTATCTTTTTTATCAATTTGCAACACTTAATAATATCTCCACAATTCTATCCTTCCTGGACGGATGAATGCATAGAGAATTCAGATTAATAACGCAGTATGCCTATGTCCATAATAGTAGCAAATCTCTTGCGTGAAATAGTCATCCAATCGGAATTGAGAAATTCCATTGCTTGTTTCTCGTTATGTCATGTTAATCGATGTAATTAATTGGTTCCTGCAAAGTATAAAATCGATTGCTTTCTCCCTATTGGAATCCACTTCAGTTAATTAGACTATTTCACCGGATATATTGATAACCAATTTTCGCCAATAACTATAGGCCTCCGCCATAAATCAGGCTGAAATCGTTTGCAATAATCAATTTAATGTCAATGGATATGATTTGATAATTATCCCCTCCCCCTCCCCTCATAGCCTACTCTCTCCTTTCCTCTCTCCCTTGTCTCTCCGTCACATTATTTGTCATCTCTCACTCTGTCTAGATTTACAAATAATAATTCAATAAAAATGCTATGATTCATCTTTCAACAAGGACCAGATGAGTCGGTGTTAACATTACCCTCCATGATCTCTTGTTTCAGCTTTGCTCAGGCTTTGTTGTTGCTGAAAGCGTCCTGGCAAAGGCTGGAAACATTCCGAAGCTATTCTATGAGTGCAAGGACTATATAAGCACCACATGTCAGAGCGGCTTGCCAATTGACATCATTGACGACCTTTGCAAGGTCAGAACTACCAAAATTGATAATTAATAAAGTTCTGACGCTCGGAGTTAGTTAGAATCCCCTATTGATTGCTGCTGTCCCTTTCTCTTATTTAAATCGAGAACTTTATGAAATGGGTGTTTCAGGTGTATGAAACGGTAGAGAAAATCCTCACTCATCCAGAGGCCAGATGGGTCTCTGGAGAGACAGCCTTGGAGGAGCCAAGAAGCCGGCTCAAGAAACTTCACCTTTCATTTATGGGGAAAGACAAGGAGATTCTGCCAAGACCAGCCACCAAGGACCAGAAGAAGCTTGAAGACAAGAATGCCAGTATGTTCTCTAACCTGTTTGATGGGAAGCCATCTTTATTTACAAAGAAGCAGCCACCGCCAAGTGCTGCCCCTTCCATGGCCCCATCTCACCTCAGTGAGGGTGATTGGGCTGGTTCGTGAAGCAATATCCCCACATTGGGGCTTTCTCGGCTTCTTCATCACACGACGACAAGATTGTGGTCTGTAAGTAACCATTTTGGCCCCCATTTATTCATTTGAATAAAAGGAAACCCGTCGAGAAAATGTACAGTTTTGTGCTTAAATGTAAACAAAGAAGAGATAGGCTTTTGACAGCCTGCACAGCAGTTTTCGCAGATGTTATCAAACACCTGATTGATTCTTTGCGAGGATATCATATGACTGTCAATTTAAAGTTCCTGAGCCAGAATTTTTATTCTTCTCACGGATGTTTCCTCAGGAGCGGGATGGTGAATCCCGAGAGTAAAACAGCAAAAGAAGCCATATATATCCCTCACCTCTCTGTGAACCCAGTGCCCTGTGAAGGTGAAGAATGTGCCTGTTTTTCTCTTCTAGAAGCATAAAAATTCACCAATGGTGTGGCATTGAAGCATCCGATGGGTTTCTACCCCGACAGGGAATGTCTGAGGCTCTGCTGCCCCCCTAGCAATTTAAAGTTTAGATAGGAAAAAAAAGGGGCGAAGGTCATTCCTCTAGTCCAATCAGAGTTCTTTTGGGGAACGACGATAACCTAGAGTCGGTCATCTCACTTCTGATGTACCTCACCAAAAAGAAGCACGTTGTGAATATGATGTGGGACACCATTCAAAGAGGTGAGACAAGCACAACATTGGTGTACCAGGCAGCTTGGAAACATAAATAGTTGCCTAGGAAGATGAGAAGGCCCAAAATGAGATTGAGCCCAAATAAATTTGTGAATTACATGCTGAACTCTGTGCTACTAATTTTCTTATTGCTAATTCACTTTTAGTTTGTTTTCTTTGAGTGATCTTATTTTCTAGGAGCATTACAGCTAATTTTTGGCCTATTTAAAGGCTAGTGTGCTATAATACTAGGAGATTGTCAACAATACACTTTTCTTTCATCTTTCACTATGTGAGGCTTCTATTTTACTTCTAGATTCAAGCATCCTTTTTAGATTTAGGATACATGATTTTAATCCTTGTACACTCAAGGATTGAGGAATTTTCCTCTTAGAGGATTTGAAACCAACTTCTGATTTTATGTAACTTCTAATTTCATCACTTGTAGACTCCAGACCTGATTTCTACTCTTCTGAATCATTTTCTGCGTAGAGTGGTATTGCAACACGGTTTTAAGTCTTAGATTTATCCTTGTTGAGGCTGTTGCAAAGATGAGGAGTCAAACCTATTGATGACATCATTTCTCCGGCAGAATTATTTTTAATTTTCAAAAAAACATTAGTGAGAAGTATGAAGATAAAGGCCAAGTTATCGAGAGAAAATTATCAGAACGACAAACAAGATGTTAAAATTCTAGTAGAATATGTATAGGAGTTTTATACTTCGCATTTTTTAATAAATTTAGCAAAATATGAATATTATGTGATTTCTTCATTTAAGAGTGGCTCTAAATGGGATATTGAAAAAGGTGACTGCATAATCAGTTTATAAACTAAATAATGTGGTTATGGGATTCAAATGGGATGATCTTTTTATCAAAAAGGGCAAAAACTACATGTTAAAATGTTATATCTAAACCTATTTTTAGGCCGCTTAAAATGAGATAAAAGTAGTGCAGATGAGATAAAAATTGATAATGTTGATAAAGAAAACGTTCAAGCTATTCATGAATGGCCCATGCCAAAGAATATCAACTATGCATAGTTTCCATGGATTAGATCTTTTTTAGTGCTGATTTATCAAATTTTTGAGTCCTTGTTGTACGTATTACCTAATATATATATATAAAAAATTCATGGGAGAAGAGAATAAATGAGTTTTAAATACAAGAAATAGTGAAATATGGACCACATGCACAAGAAGTTTATAAAATAGACAGATTCAAAAAACTTGGGAGCATTATCTAACTTAATTAGAATTTGCATTACTTACTTATCACCAGATGAAACACAGAAAAAACTTTTAAAGTTGGTGATTTGGTCATGCTATAGTTGTAGAGAGATAGATTATCAATTGATACATATGACTATTTAATTCAAAAGAAATATGGATCATTGATAATTTTACAAATACATTAATGATAGTGCATATGCCATTGATTTAGTAAAATAAATAAGCATATCTTAGAACCTAAACATCCAATAAATATTTACAACAACTATGTAGAGCAACATGAAAACTCATAAGTGAGTTCCTTTTCAGAAAAAGTGAGTGTATATTATTATTCAAATGAAATGAGAAAAGCAAAACATTAGAAACCGAGATGACATGAAGACAAAGCTTAAGCTACATGATGGGAAGGCTCAAATGATTAAGCCTCCTAAAAACTGAGATTAAGCCCAAATAAATAACATGAATAATAGGTTAAATGACCACTCTAAATAACTGATGTTGCCCAAAGCCTAGAAACCAAAGTGGAGTCTTAAACTAAATGCCCTAATTACTTTAGAAGTGGGTTGTAGAGAGAAGAATAGTTAAAGAGGACCTAATAGCCAGTTGAACCCAACAAAGGCATGAAAAATTACTTTGAGAAAGCTACTTTGTCTCTTTTCTTCTATAAGGTGATTTAATGTTACTCAAAACTTATTTTAGGTTATTTCAAACCTTATTTCAAACCTTGTAAGAATCTGCACCTAAGGTGAGTTTATTTTAAGTCCTTTAAGACTTAGTTAGAACCCTCTTTTTGAGACATCCTACTTTCTAGGCCTATATAAAGGCTATCATATAACTTTAGATGTTGCTTTTAAATTGTGATGAGTTTTTCTTTCATTTAAGGTTTTGTTCCATCTGTTTGTATATTCAAGTGCCCCTTTGTGGATTCAAAAGTCCCTTATATTGTGGATTCAAGGTCACCTCATTATAGATGCAAGGTTGAAGACTCTAGTTCTGTAGATTTAAATACTAGTTTCTTCTCTAAGGTTCATGCTTTCTATATTGAAGGTCAGATCTTGTTATCTTCTGCTGCAAATTACTCTCTTCCTGTTCATTTGGTTTAAGTTTTTTCCAAACTGATTTGATTTTGTAAGAGTGTCACAGCTATTATTTGGATTATTTAAAGCCACCCACAAAGAAACTCTATGAAATTATTAATAATAAGTTTCCCTTTTCATCAAGAGATTTTTACTTTCTTTTGGATTCATTATTCATTCTTTATTCAAGGAGCATCATTTTGATTCTTGTGTTATGAAAAACATGAAAAGAATCAATCATTATGGACTGCAAGATTTTAAGAATTTAAGGCCTAATTCTGATTTTCCACAACTTATACTCATGCTTATCGATTCAAGCCTTGATTTCTAATCCTTCACAACTTTGATAGTGTCAAACGGTTCCTACTTACTCATTTCCAGTGGATATTCTTTCATCTCTAAAGGTTGAGATCTTAAAAAAAGAGCAGCAAGAGGGGAACATAGATAACTTCTCTTTAATATCTCAATTCTTTATTTGTGAAATGTAAAATGCTTGAAAGTTTTTCTAGATTTGACATTAATACCACACGTAACCAAGTGTCAACCTCCTCTACACTATTGGGCAATGTCCCATTTTATATCCTTGCACATGCACCCCCTCAAGACGACAAAAATTGTTGGTAAGACCCAAACCTAACCAGCACCTCTGTGGATTTTTAGTATCCTTTGTAAAAATAATTTTCAAATCCGTATTTTAAGAACTTCCCTCATACTAGAACCATTTCTTTCTGCTGGATCAAATTATTTACATTTCTTGAAAAAGTTTCATCATAGGTAAGTATCAATATCTCATTTTTTGTGACGTATAATCCCTAGAAAGGCCAAAAAAATTGAACCAAATGACCTGAAAATGCAAAACCAGGACATCATATGTTTGAAGGACAAAATGACCTTGAAAGCAATATTCAAGTACTTATGTCGAAAATGATAAGGAAAATATGTTATATTTGTAGTGTATTAATTGTTCCTCTTTCTCGAGGTTTGATTTTTTTCAGACACAACATATTTCGGATTATTTAAGGTCTTGAATGGTGAAAATATAGAGGTAATCAATAACGTGATTTTTTTAAAATTTGTAATTTTTTTGTGTGTTTTTGGATTTAGGTAACCCTTTCTAGATTCAAGGGCAATTTGTCATCATAGTTGAGTTAAGAAAATTTTCACATTTTGGATCAAAGGCTTGATTTATATTCTTCCACAATGTCCAATATCATGTCTTGTGGACTCAAAGCCCATTTTTTTCATTCTCTACCAACTTTTGATGTGTCAATAGGTAAGTGGTATATTTTTAGAAAATATGAAAAAATGTGAAAAAAGTTTTTGAAGTGAAAAAGTATGTAATCTTATTTGCCAAACCTAGGTCCATTTGCATCTCCCATTAACAACCTACAATGATGCATCTCAGTACCAACCTTTCGTCCTAATGTTTTTAGAGAAAAAAGACTAAGAGGAGGCCCAAATGTATTATTGTAGATTCTAAATAGACTTTGTTCAAAGAATCAACCTGATTTGGCTTCAAGAACATAGAACTACCAAAACCTTGTAAAATCTTTGTCTTGTTTGATCTCTTTCTCTCTCACACACACACACACATGCGTGTATACACCCACATTTTTTCTACATTCTTTCTGATTTTATTTAGTTTGTACATTATTTTATACAACAATCTTGAACCAAGTTAGCTATGCAAAAATTTAATTGTGAGAGGAAAAGGCCTTCCATACTTTGGAAACTTAGTGGTAATAGTAAAAGGCTTAAGCAAGCTATACACTATCTCATAGTTAGCATGCTATACAACCTAGTTGCTAGAATTAGGAGGCTGAGATTGAAAGCTATGTTCTCTCGTTGATGAATCGCATAACATATTTGAACACTTTATGTTATATGGTTCAATATATTTCCCTAATGTTCTAATTTCTTCTTCAGATGCAATGGAGAAATTTTTGTTGACACTGAATGGGGTGGACCAAGCTCTAGGCTTTCACCTTAGATTTGATGAGATCAAGAATTGACCCAATCAGACATTCTA